GACTTGAATCAATGGAGTCTTGAACACGATCCCTGAGGGCGAGACACTTTTCGATAGTGTGACCGCGACCTCTATGGTATCGACAATAGGAATTTGGATCGCAATTAGGAAAACTTTTTTCAGGTGGAGGGTCTTGACCTTGATCGTGAAGACAGTCAAAAGCTTCATTGTAGGTCATTCCTATTGGTGTGTATTCTTCAATGGTCCGTTTTGCTTGTGGTTTAGGAGCATTGAGTTCTTCATTAAACCCTTGGCGAGAATTTTGTTCGATGGCCATCACCCGATTTGGTAATCCTTCTACCACATTCAAGAGCATGGCAACGACGTCTTGAAATTTTTGAACGTCCTCTTTTAGACTTGATGAGTCTTCCCTGGTATTATCTAAGAAAAGACTTTCATCCTCCCCAATCATGGTCACTTCATCGAGAGAGGTTATATAAGCTGTCTCGATCATGGGATCTCCTACAAGTGTTATGAGAAGTGATGGATCGAAGGATGTTTGATCTTCTTCAATGGCTAGAATCTCGGAAATTTCATTGTTATCGATCAGATCTTAAATTGCTTCTTTGAGTTTCCAACACTCCTTAGTTTTGTGACCCTTTCCTTGATGATATTTGCAGTGCTTATTAGGGTCCCACTTAGGTGGCCTAGCTTCTGGAACTGGATCTTTGATGGGCCTTATGGGCATGACTAGTCCTTTGTGATGTAACTTCTCGAAAGCTGTTTCATAACTCATACCAAGTGGAGTGAACACCCTCTTTGATCTTTGGATTTGTGTTTTAGAGGCGTTCGTGGCATGTACTTCATTAATGGGAGAGGAAGAAGAAGGATGGTCGTTCTTCTTTCCTCTCGTACCATTATCTTATAGAAGGTCATCTTCAATGTCAATGCCTATGTTATACACAGCCTTGAAAGAATTTAAATTGTGTAGGTACTTTAAGTGTTTTGAATACTTCCCTTGGAGATTCTTCATAAACATCCTCACAAATTCTTTTTCAGTAGGAGCCTTGACCATATTAGCGGAAGTTTCCCTCCATTTGTTGAAGAAAGAAGTGAACCCTTCGTTTCCTTTTTGTTTTAACATCTCAAGTTGTATGTGGTCTGTTTCGTCTTGGATGTTGCACTTATATCTATCTATGAAAGCGTTTGTTATCGACTCCCAACAAGAAGTTTTTTCTTTCTCGAGAGAAAAGAACCATTGTTGACAAACGGTTTCGAGATATAGTGGGAATAGAGAGGGGAAAACCTTCTTATCGATACCCTTAATGTTCATTATGGTTTCAAAAGCTCTTAGATGGAAGTAAGGTTATCTGTTGCCTTGAATTTAGGGATGTCAGTGGCGTTGAACTTATGCGGAAGAAGTTCCTTGTCCAGTGAGACCCCTTGTGAACTCATGCCTTAAAATTTATAGTCACTAGATAGCTTGCTTAGACTTTCTTGCATGAGGTCCATCTGTTGTTGCTTCACGGGATCATTGATCTTGAGTGTGAGTAGCTTCAGTGTCTCAGTCACGGTAACCAATTGGTTCCTAAGCTCATTGACTTCTTCTTGACTTTCCATTATTTTAGCCTTCCTCATTGGATGAATCGGTTTATCAAAAAGTGAGACTTGAACAAAGAGGTTGTCCTTAATTAATCGCCCTCTCTCCTCGACCAAGTACTATGGAAAAGGAATTTGGGGATATTCATTGTTAATTATTTGACTCAAACTCTATTCAATCATGCAATGAATGGAGGAAGTGAAGGAAGATTGGAATAGAATGTGAATAAAAAAGATGTAGATAGAGGGATATGAAGAATTAGGAATATAATGTACCCCCCAACTCAAATGACGGAAAAGACCGACTCATGCATGGACCTAAGACATGGTCATGGTGATGTACTCGAAGTGTGTGCTAAGACTAGTGAGTGTAGGTGACATGTTAAGACTCGTGTTATGACCATGTGGCTAGACTATGTGACTAGACTCAATTAACGACTTGACAAGGTGTTATTGACAGCGAAAATTAACCGAATTAATTAGCGAACTGGTTAATTAGACTCTAGGTGATGACTCAATCAATAATCCGAACTGTCGGCCAAACGACAGGACTGGCGTCGCACTGTGTAGCTTGGCGCCAGACAACAGAGCTGTCGCCAGGTGCCATACTCCACAGTGTGGCGCTATAGCTCAGACTTTGGTGCCAATATTGAAGCTTCAATCGCCATGATTTGGTAAATTCAACATCTCGGATGTACCCTTTGTTGCACAGAGCGTTCAATCAGGTAGATGGAGCATGAATTCCCAGAGGGTTATGTCCATATGTAGAACACATATGGGTTTAAGAAAAGTGAGAAAAAATTCAATCAGGAAGTAGGATCGAGCAAACAATACGAAAAACCGGTCGACATTAGAACGTATATTTCTGGCTCGGTATTGGGGGAAATTGGAGCCAGCAATCAGAGACTGGCGCTAGTTTTTAACTGTAGCGCCTGGCGCTAATGCTGGCATCTGGCACTACAGCTAAAATTTTGGCGCCAAGCTTTGGCCTCTGGCGCAACTTCCCACATGCCTCAGCAGCTGTATGTGCTCGATAAAATTTTTCAGTTTCGCGCGGTGTTATTTCGGTCCTAGTTGTGAAACATATTTCTCAAATTTCCAACGTGTAAAATCCTTTGTTTTTAACTCATTACGGATGGTCTTTCCAATGAGATCTTTTTTATGCATATGACAATGGTGTTAATCAAAATTACGCACATGAAATACTTAGAACGTTTCGAGTCTCATCCACTCATTCTAAATCATTGCCGAAACAAATTCAGGAATTAAAATAGAAATCCTCCCCAGTGGAGTCGCCAAAAACTGTAGGGAATAAATTTAAGCGTTAAACCCCTAGCTTGAACCCCACTGTGATCATACACTAAAGTACGGTGGTGTCCAAAAGGGAAGAAGATAGAGCAAAAGAGTCGCCAACAAGTTTTAGGAACTTGTAAACCGTTCACAGGGTGAAGGTTACATCCCTTAACGATCCAAGAGATCGTCAACTCCATAAGGTCTTGAACCAAATAAGGGTTCGGGGATGAAGGTACAAATCCAACCTAAAAGATATTGAACCTTTCCTAATAATAGGCCTCTACTTTATTCTGATCGTATTCATGTGCGCTTTTTGACTAACATGCAATCAATAGGATTAACCCTAAACCTGTTTATCTATGTTGGTTGAAAATTAATGCACAAATAAATCTATTATTGGCGATCACTTGAATTATAATCATAATTAACCCTAACAAGATTATCAATTATCTTATTAAGCGTGATTACAAATACAAATTCCCTTAAACATGCAAAAAAAGGTGTGATCAAGCAATAACAATAAAATATACCAAGCAACATAATAAATTATCAAAATAATAATCATCAAAATAATAATAATATTCATAATCATCATAAATTGTAACAATTATAATCATAAAATCATAATCATAATTCATAATTAAAATAATCATATCAACATTAAAGCATAATAATAGCAAGATCCTAGGCATGATACTAACAAGATTAATAACAAACCCTAGCATATCACTAAACAATAAAAATCAAATCTTTAACCCTAACATGATACTAACAATCATAAATATTAGGAAGAACATAGGAAGAATCATGACAATCATATTTAATATTAAAATTACCCTAGACATGATACTGGGAATATCATAATAACAATCTAAGCATTATTTCTACATCATAACATCAATAAAAACCATTAAAGCATTTATTTTGATGCCTCGTACCTCTTTCTAATAACAAAATGCACGTGTTAGTAACTTCAAGGAAAATAATAAACAAACAATCAAATTAAATAATTGAAGAGAGATTTGGGACCAAACCCTCAGAAATTAAACCATTCACGTCTAGGGCGAAGGCAAATTCGAATATGGCTAGGTGTTTCTAGATCTTGCGAATGCGGAATTTTGTATGTAAAAGTTAGTTTAAAGAGAAAAAGAAAGATGAATTGATTAGGGAAATCTTAAGGAGAATTAGAGAATGATTATAGAGAATGAAAGAGAATTGAAAACTGATTGTAGGTGAATGAAAACGGAGTTTTTACGTCATTATTTATAGAGAAATCAGCCAAAAAGATAATTTTACAAAACAGACGCTTGGCGCAACCGAAACAGAGCTGGCGCCAACCTTGGCTAATTGGCACCAGGCGCCAACACTAGCGCCAGGCGCCAGGCCTAGTTCCAGGCGCCAACGCCTGGTGTCATATGCTAGTCCTCTTTTTGACGCGTTTTTGAAAATCAGATAAGTTTGCCGTACTGGAGGATAAAATCAGATCTTTTCCTCGAAAATGCTTTTTGATTTTAATTAAAACTGTGAAAAGTCAACAAAAGTCAATTTATCAATGCAAATTGAATTAGGAATGAAAAGAACCTTCTAAAAGAATCTAGAAGACTAAAACCATGCCTAACTAATTGCATTAGGAATGATAAATCATATTAGGCCCTCCTCTAGATCATTGGGCCGTACATAAGGTTCTAACCGGGCCCAGTTTAGTAAATTGACCATAACTTTCTCAATATTCATCGAAATTGGGCTTATAATATATCGTTGGAAAGGTATTGTCATGCCCCATCCAACTAAACCATTATTGGACCCATATCATGGACCAACCAAACAATATTGGCTGTTTTCTTAAAATAAGTTTTCAAAAACAGAGAGAAGAGAAAAAAAATTAAAACTATGCGCAACACTAGACTTTCCACACTTTCGCTTCATTCGATTATGATTCGACGTGAAAGGTACTCATCACTGGGTTTGGTTTTGGGAAGACATATTTGGGTGTCTACAGTCTCATACCCTTCTTATCATATATTTTATCTCTTTTTTCCCTCTTAATTATTTTCCATTAATTAATTCCCCAACTACTCGTTTTCCTGTACTCCTTCTCTTTTGGCTTCTTTTATTTTAGCTTTTGAGAATCTAAGACATTATTAGTTAAATATTTATATGATGCCTACAATTAAATTACTGTAATAGAGGTACAATAATAAAATCACACACATACATATATATACATATTATGAAAGACAAATGGAAAAAAAAGATTAAAATATAAATTTGAGTGGTTCAAAAAAGGTCTGTCATTAAATTAAAAAGCTAGAATCTTGTTCTTCAAAATATGACCACATGCAATAAGTACTACAGCAAAATAAGGACACACACAACCAATTACAATAATGGAATCTCCTAAAAAATGGACTTGCAGTATTTTAAAACAACAAAACACCAACACCAACTGCACTATTGGCCAAAATTAAACACTTAAACAACAAGTTTTCAATCCTGGCAGCTTGTTAATTAGTTGGTTGAGATGGAATTTGGGCTTCACTTAGGACAATTGGTGGTGTATATTCAGAGCCACTGAAGGAAACTTGGCCCCCATCTCCATACAAAATACCAACCCCAAGTGGTGCTCCTCTTCCCTTCTTTCCTCTCCCTTTGGTTGTTGCTGCTCTTGCTTCCATCCATGGCATTGTGGTAGACCCATCACCAGTGCTAGAAGAGTGTTGTGATCTTCCTTTCCCTTTTCTAGTTTGGTTAGCATAGTCTAATGGGGTTTGAACATTGTTTTGAATCAGATCTGGTATACTTCTTCCTACTATGTTATTTCCTCATTTTTTTCCTTCCTCTTGCCCATGTTTTTGCACCTGCACTTGAACCATTTTCCTAGGAGGAACATAATATGATATTACTTGTGTAAGTAAGCATATTATGAATATATTAAGGTTAAAAAAATACACTATATATACATATATATTACTTTTCCTTACCCAATTAGGTTGGGCAGGTTATGGACATTTATTTTTGTAATGTCCAGGTTCTCTATGATTTAAGCACTTGTTTGGCATCCCCTTTCTGTTGTATTTATTATTCTCCTTAATAGGCTCATCTACATCTTTTATTCTGACAGTTTTCCTTTTTCCAGGACCTTTGTTGATGATGTCAGGTGGCAACACTAAACCTTCTCCTTCTTGATTCCAAAATGTACTCCCTAGAACTGGTTGCAACAGATTATGATATGTTTTCTCATAAGTTGCAGCGTTATACCAATGTGCTAAGTAATCTTCAGGTTGGTGTTTCGTGTATAATATTGCACTCATAGCATGAGCACATGGTATGCCTGTTAAATCCCAAGATCTACAACTGCAAGTTCTTTTTTGAAGGTTAACAGCATGACCAACTCCTCTGTGGATTACTTCAAACCCTGTTTGAGAGTCTTCACCATTCCATCTACAGTCACATTTATTCTGCTCATCATAAGACTCCTGTAACTTTTGACTAATCCTAGGTGCAATTCCAGCAACAAATGTGTTCACGAGACTTTTTTTTTTTTTTTTGCCCTCATTCTTTCCATTAATGTAAGCCTAATATCCTCTAGCATAGTTACTATGGGTTTATACCTAGCTAGAAGAATAAAAGTATTAAAGGTTTCTGCGATGTTATTGTCAACTACATCACAAGAAGAGTGAATTTTGAATTTAGACTTGCAAAATGTTTCGGTGTTTCTTGCTCTAAAATCCAAATGTGCTTGTTTTGACATTACCTTCAATTTTGCCAAATAAGCTTCGTACTCACCAGGGCTAGTTGATTTAACACATTTCCAAAATTGTTTATCCAATTGCTTACCCTTGTGATTCTTCCTCCAATTAGTGTATATGTGTTGCACATTGTCTATGTTCTATATTCGGACAAATGTTGTGTATTGCATTCACCAGCCCCTGAAAATGAGAATGAGTTTAAGTTATAGATCATACATTATCATAACAAAAAAAAAGAGAAGTCATATTTACATACCTTTCGTTGGTCAGAAATTACTGTACAACCATCACCTTCTTCCATTTTCAAATCCTCATATATTAGCTTCAAGAAACATTCCCAAGTACTAGTAGTTTTCCTCTCAACCAGATCCCACCCAACATGGAACATATGGTTATTTCCATCTCTCCCAACTGCACAGAGTAATTGGCCACCACAAGCATGCTTTAAAAAACATCCATCAACTCCAATTGTAAGTCTACAAGTCTCTATAAAGCTCTTCTTCAATGCTGTAAAACACATATAGAACCTGAGAAACTGCTTTGGCTGTCCGGGCTCAGCTTCAACAATTTTCAAAACACATGTGGTTCCGAGTTTTGATTTCACCAATTCATTCAAGTATGGTTTTAAAATAACATATTGTTTATTCATCAAACTTTGTACAGCATTTAGAGCTCTTCCTTTTGATCTTTGACATTGTCTCAAGCCTACAACAATGTCATATCTTGCTCTCATATCAGCCTTGATCTCAACAACTTTAATAAGTGGATTTCTCAGTATTTTGTCTAAATATTCCTTAACTAACCAATTCACAGTTATAAGTCTATTTTCAAAGGTCCTGGTGCACCATTCATGAACTAGTTACTTGGACTTGATTTGCCACCCGGTATGGTCTTCGAGGTCAGGCCCAGAGGTGATTTCCCACCTACATTGTGCACAACCTACACTAATGGACTTTTTGTCATTTTTAAGGTAGACCAAGTCTTTGTGTTGTTGAATTGAATATGCAAGAATGACTTCTTTAAAAATTTCTCGTGAAGTGAATCTCAATCCAACAAATAACTCCACACTTTTCATGTTTATCTTCTCATTGAATGTAGGATAAGAAACCTTCTTTCTTCTCTTTTAAACATGAGTATCATTTCTATCTTCGTCTTTAGATGATGGTAGTGGATCCTCATTATCTAAATCTCTTTGATCAGATTCATACCCACCTTCAAAGGTTGTCTAATAGGCTGGCCATTTCCCACTCCCCCCTGCTAAATGTCCACTTTCACTTCCAGGTTGTATCTCCTCATTATCAACATTTTCTTCATTGACCCCTTCGACTTGTGGAATATTATCATCAAATTTATAATGAATCCTTTCGGTATCATTATCAGGCCATTTAGATGCTAATTGAACCCTTCTAGTTTCAAGCACCTCTTCTCTAGTTGCAATCATCTCATCATCATCATATTGTAACTCCTCGGCTAGAATTTCATCCCACTGAATTGAGTTCTCAGAATCATAATGATATTCCTCATTAACATCATTTCCACCCTCCTCATTAACCTGCCCCAAGTGTTCAATCACTTGTGTTCCACCAAGCTCTTTCACCTTACGATATTTGTTGCATTGTCCTTCTTCATCTAGGTATGCCTCTTTCAATTCTCTTGGATCCATCTTATAATTTTCATCTTCAGCCGAGTCATCATCAAAAGAGGATGAAGATATGGCATCATCTTCGAATATAGGTGAAACAGTATGTGGAACAACTTATGTCTCTACATCATGACGTATAGGGGAAATATCATTTGGGCTAATCTCAGTAGGGTGTTCACTTGTGGACCTATTTAGTTGCTTCTTACCACCTCTTGGCCTTAATTTTACCAAATTTTTCTCGAGTGATTAGCATTTGACAACAATTTATTCGTACTAGCAACCTCATGTCTATCATCATACATCTACATACAAAGATACAAGTATCAAAACCAAATTCATTCATCTCGTCAAGATTTCATGAACAACGTTAATTAACATTTTTGGTAATTAAATGTTTACAATATCTTAATCTTGGCAACATCAAAAAAATTAAACAATTTTTTTTTAAAAAAAAAACCCCATAAAAACAAAGTCAAATATCATATCTTTCAAATTGCACAACCTAAATAGCAAATTACACTCTAATTATTCAATTAATTTGATAATTATACCTATCAATTAAATTACTCATGTAATTTTATAATAATTACAAGATTTCACCTTTCTTAACTGTAAGTAAAAGTTTATGTGTCTTCAATTTGTTGACTTGGTGCTCTTTCTTGAAGAAATTTAATTGCTTTTTGTAGGCGTCACTCGAAGTGCGCCTACGTTAAAGCATGTTGTGAATATGCTTGGCACTCATAGGAAGTAGGAATTGACATTACGATTAGGGACAACGATTAGGGACAAATAAAGTAGGGAGTCGCCTACAAGTTTTTAAGGAACTTGTAAACCGTTCACGGATCATTATAAGGCAACCATGAAAAGGGAAAACGATAGGCAACAACAATTGACCCGTGAAGGTTACACCCCATTCATAATCCATGAGATTACTAACTCCAGATGGTTCGGAACCACGAAAGGAGGATCGGGGATGATGGTACGAAGTGAGTCATGGAGTCACATTTGCCCGTATTGGCCTCTACTCGATTCTTATAGTGAAAAGTGATTCCTGCGATCTCAAAGGCATACAAAAAAAATATTCAATTTGCTCCAAACTATTATTTAACTAAATTGGTTGAATATTAATGCACACATAATTCTAAAATATCGTGATCACTTGATTAAACAACAAGATTAAAAAGGAACCTAAACCGGTTGTCCAAATTATCTTATTAGTCGTGATTTCCAATTACATATTCCCTTTAAACATGCAATATAGTGATCAATAAAAATAATACAACAACATTAACATCAAAACCAATTTAACCACAATTCCAACAACATAAAATCGTTAGAAAAACAATAGGAATAAAAGGAGCATGATCCTTACTTTGATTCTGTTTGTTTGCAACTACAAAATAATTAACGAGTTAGTAACTTCAAGGAAATAATAAAACAATAATTAAATTAAATTAAATAAAGTAAGGTAGATTTGGGGCCAAACCCTCAAACAGTTCTACCTTTCACGCCTTGGCTTAAGGATAGAACCACGAGTAAAGTATGGACTCCTTTGAGTACTTGAAGAAGGAATTTTGAAGTAGAAAAGGGTAGGCTAGTGTTTAGGCTAAAGCATAGAAAAGATAAAATTAAATCAGAGAATTACTCGGTGCCCCGTACATCAGAAATGAGGGGGTATTTATAGGGAAAATGTGCTGAGGGAGCACACGGAACCCTAAAATGATAAAAACCCTAAAAAAGTATCCTGTGACACAGCAAACTGTATCGTGACACGGGAAATCCCACCGTCAGACGGCACACTTTCCCGTGTCACGGTACATTTTTGGTGTGACGCGGGAAATTTTCAGAAAACGGGATAAAAAACGCGTTAAGGGTTTACGCGGAAAAGACACGGAATGTCCCGTGTCATGGAAGACTTCCCGTGTCACGTGAAATCCCACCGTCAGACGGGAAGGATTCCCGTGACACGGTAGGTACCTGCCGTGGCGCGGGAAATTCCAGCCTGTTTTTCCGTCTAAATACATTTTTAACCCTAATTTTATTCGGCATTTTAAGTGTCGATTAATAATTTCGGGCCTTTTCTGACTTATTATTATTTGGGCTAAAATAAGAAAATAATTAAATAAAAATAAATAAAAGGTTTGGGCCAAAAATAAATAATAAAACAATAAAATAAAAAAGGTTTGGGCTAAAATTAAATAATAAGTTTGGGCTAAAACTATGCTTTTACCAAACATCAAGACTAATCCATGGACTATTCAAAAATATGGATTTAATCAAATACGAATTTTTAAGCACTCTCGGGATTAAATACTGAACCCGACTAATAGTGGCGGTGAAAGGTTGTTCATCATCGGGTTTGGTTTTGGAGAGACATTTTTAGATGTCTACAGAAGCACCCACTTTGACTGGGTTTGTAGAAACGTCAGTTTCGAAAATGATAGTCAAAGTAACCGATAGGGACGGAGAATGATTTAAGACGTTCTGCGATCCTAAATCACTCTATATACGCCGATACCTGCAGAAAAATGTTAGTTCTACAGATAAAAGAGTAAAAGGATAGAATACGTATCTGACACCAGTGTATTGGTGACAAACAGATTTGGCAGCTTCCTAAGCTTGAAGGAATCCACCGAGTGACATTTGTTGAAACGCTTTCCATGCTTAGGGAAAACCGACTGAAGAATTTGGTAGTTTTCTAAGCCTGAAGAAACCTACCGGATGACACTTTCCATGCTTGAGGAAAGTCGACGTATGAATTTTGTGTCATTCTATGCTTGAAGAATTTCACCGATAATGCCTTCCATACTTGAGGAAAGCCGACAAAGGAATTTGGCGGTTTTCTATACTTGAAGAAAAAATCCACCGATAACGTTTTCCATGCCAGAGGAAAGCCGACTTGGCGGTTTTCTATACTTGAAGAAAAAATCCACCGATAATGCTTTCCAAGCCTGAGGAAAGCCGACTTGGCGGTTTTCTATACTTGAAGAAAAATCCACCGTTAACGCTTTCCAAGTCCGAGGAAAGCCAACTTGGCGGTTTTCTATACTTGAAGAAAAATCCACCGATAATGCTTTCCAAGCCTGAGGAAAGCCGACTTGGCGGTTTTCTATACTTGAAGAAAAATCCACCGATAATGCTTTCCAAGCCTGAGGAAAGCTGATGATTGCTGAAATTTGTAAGTGTATGATGGTTGCTGAAATTTTTAAGTGTATGATGGTTCGATTATCCCCGAACGTGGGCCGCAGATGATTCACAATTTTAAGTCTATTATCCGAGCATATTAGGTGCTTAAAATTCCGAAAAATAGAC